CCCCCCTTTTTTTTTTTTTTTTAAAGATGAGCAAACTTGTCTTGTGGATTTGCAGATGTTTATTGCTTTGCTTTTTCCCCAGGAGCACCCCTTCTCCCCTTGTCTAGATTTCTACAGAATATTATCAGTGAAAGTATTTGGGTTGCCTATGTGTGTTTTGGGTGTTGCATAAGGGTGCCCAAGCAGTCCTCTTGAACTCTTGTTAATGCATCTGTACGGGGCTTGGAAACCCCAGATTTCACATCCTTTCAGCAAATTTCAGACCTGAGAGAGATGGTTCCTTCCAGGTCATGTTGCTGCTCTAAAACTGGTTGATGGACTGGACTCACTTTCCTTGCATCCCTTGTCACTAACTTGCTTTTGTGAACTGGCCTGAGAAATATTGGCTTCCAGTTTTTTTTGTTAATGCCTTTGTTTTGGGGGGTGGGAGGGGTAAATGGCTGATGCAAGGAGGATACGACACCAAGCCTTCCCTGTGTTTTGGGACATTTCAGCATAGCTTCTCTTAGCCACCGGATTTGCGCTAAAGCTTTTTGGTTACTCTTGGAAGTCTTGTGGAAGGCTTTCTTCAGTTTATTCTAGTAGATAGCTCCTGAAGTGACTGGTTTGGCTCTTAGGAGCTTGGGAGACCTTGCAATAAGGGCTGCATCATTTCTACCACTTTGGGTTATTGTCAGTGTCTGTCAGACTTCCTCCAATTGCAGGGATTGGTTCCTGGTGTCACTGTTTTTCTTCTGCTGTCCTGATCACATTGGTTCAGCACGTTTGGTTCTGATTTTATACACGCCAGTGATCTTTCTGTATTATGCTCACACTTGTGTATTCAAGATATGTAACAATACCCAGGCTTTAAAAGCACCCAGGCCTTGATCTGCCCTAGCTTTTAAAGCTGATTGCAGGATAAGCAAGGCTTGTGAATTAACGGAGAATCATTCCAAAAGGTCAGAGTTGTACGTTAGGGATATGAAGTTGGTTGAAGAAATCTGTAGAATGGTTTTTGCATCATTCTTCTTAACGTGCTCTTGCATCGACCTAAATGTTTGGAAGTCTAATAGGAAAAACCCCTGAGCTGTGATTTATACTTTGTATGGCATTGTTTTGTTTTGAAGCATCCAGTGCTGTGTATGCATTTTGCCTTATATAGCTAACTGACTATTTTCCTTCCCAGAGGAGTGGCATTTATGAGCAAAAATCCACTAACGTAAAGCAAATAAGTGGATGTTTTTAGTTTTATTAACGTTGGACATAAGTCTTGGGGTATATCCACGATGCTAAATTAGCCTTTTGCTTTTCCAGGCATTTATCCCACCCCTACTCTCTCCCTCCACACACAAGGCTCCAGTATCCCTTTCTTTGCCTTCAGGATCCATGCTTCTTTGCATGGCTGGAGGCATGAGTTAAAGCCGGAGCTCTACTTTGGTTTGGAACTAATCTCCTTTACAAATTCAGAATTCGTCACCTGAAACACATCCTTAAAAAGATGCGGCGCAAGAATGGTTAATAAAAAGCCCCATCTTTTCTAATTGGTGATTTGCTCTTCAAATTAAAAGGATATGCCAGCTTTCCCAACCATCACAGTTCTGCCTGAATTTACTTACTGTTCCCACTAACACTGAAGATTATTGTAACCGAACCAGATTGGAGAAGAAGCTTCTCTTTTTTGCAGCTGAATGGGTCTAACTCCACTTTGAACACAGATTTCCCTGGTGCTTGGAGATTTCTTGCTGCAACGGGGAAGAAAATATTTTTTAAAATAGGAAAATGTGATTGTAAAATTGCAAAATTGGTAGAGGGACTTGGGGACAGGCGTGGCCTATTTTCAGCTATCTGGGAAAGATTAATTACATTTCAGTTGCTGACGTCCCAGTAACTGTCGTGAAACCCATTTCTTGTTCCCATCCCTGACGACGGGCTCTCGAAGCCGGAAGTCATGGGAGTAGATGCAAACCTGATGACCAGTTTGCATTGGGTATATATTTATTTGGTTTCCTTTGTGCGTTTGGTTACATTTTTAAGTAAAGTTAAAATTAACAGTATACTTTTTTAGTATTTACACAAACTAATTGTAGTGTTCTCTTTCAGAATACAGGTTTGCTTTGGGACACACCCCTGTTGGATTTAATACCTGCCCTGCTAGTGACAACTTTCAGCTATGGAATCGGTAAATATTTGGGTTACTTGCTTTTTGTCCAGTGCACTTTCTTTTGTCTAGTATTACTTGTATACAGAATCCAGGTACTAAAGCAGGCATGGTGGCCATTTTTCATTTGCCTCTGATCTTTGTATAAGGAAGGTGGATGTTGTAAACCTTGTATTAGGTGAGATGAACTGGGTTAGATTTCGTTTAAGGAATGCCTGTCTTTTATTAGAAATACCTCTTAATTCCAAATGTAAGAAGGTTTTCTTTACAAATAAATACTAAAAGCAGTGATTGTGTTTGGACTGTCTAGCACTGGTTTGCGTAGCTTCATTAAAGTTCATAGACCTTCCTGATGTCTGTGGCTGTACCCTGTGTCAGTGTGAGGTACTTTCAATTTTAATATGAAATGGGTCGTGGGCGTTTAGTGTATCCTTCATTCCCAAAAAGTACCTTTTTAAAGAGACTGAATTAAAAATGCAACTTGTCTCTCTTCCATCTGTGTGTGGTAATTAATGCAACTGAAAGTAGTAGGGGTTAGACTTCAGTATTCTTTTTGCCCAAAAGTAATGAATTAAATCTTTGTAATATTACTGCTATTCATGCGAGCTGTTAAGGACTCGCATCATCGTAATATACTAGCTGTGGAAATTGATAGATTCTTTTTTTTATACATAAAAGCTATTTGTTGGAGTGACTAATTGAGTGTGGAGTATGTGTGAATTTACATAAGGTCAATTTGAGATAGATTATGGGGGAGACCATGGACTGCAAAAAGCAAAATGCTAGTAGCCTAACCAAGGGAGAAGCACTTGCATCTCTGCTCTTTCGCAAGTATTGGCGGTTCCAAAGAGCAGAAGCAGCCATTGTATATCCTCATAGAAAGCTGGTTTTCCCCTTTTCTCATGGTGCAAACCATCAGCTTCTAGCTGGGGAGAGTTGTGGAGGGATCATTGGGGGATGAATGTTGAGGTCCTAAAATACTCTGGTGAAGGATGTGCAGTAAACCTAGAGGGAGTGTTCTGGTTCTGTCTTGGGGCTCGAGATGCTTGATTGACTTGTGCTTTATGCAGCAGTGAAATGGTTGTAATTAATTACCATTGTATGCTCATCGCTTTTAATAAAGGAGACTAATTCCCTGATAAATAGAGATCCTGCGGAATCAGGTGGCTTGATATACAAGTTTATGGGATTTATTTTTCTCATTTGGATTTTGAAAACAAAGCCTATTCTACTAAGTATGCCCCTGTTAATATTCAAGTATTTGGATTCAGACAAGATGCTCTTTCACTTTCCCTTAGTGGGTATAAATAATAATAAAAACCTTCCGTGGTGAAAGGGAGCACAAGCCAGGCATCAACAGCTCTCCCCTGCTGCAGCCTAGCAGTTAGTGTGATGGAGGAGGGGAGCCCTTGGTGTGGTGTGCAGGAAAGACGGATCTCCCTGATGGCCCTTCAGCTCAGACTTCTCTGTGGCATCATGCAGCCTCCACAGCAGACGTAAAGCGCAGCGTTCGTTACCAAACTGGACTTCAAAATTAGATATGAGTGATGATGATTTGCCTTATTCGTCTAGATTGTGCAGTAAGCAGTGCAAACAAGGCTGTGTTTTTGCTTAGATTCGCTCTCTTTCAACTACAAGAAACTGCATTGAGCAGATGCTTATACGTCCTACTGTACTTGCGATGGCATGTGAGCTGTATGAGCTAGTATAAGATCTTGTGGTCAATTATACTTATGTTGTGCATTGTGTATTGTGCATATGCTTTGGAAGGTGGAGATTTTTTCTGTTTATGATGGCCCCCAAGATGTTTGGGTTAGGGCTTCTTGGGCTTTCCAGTCCTACAAGAAGAGGAGCTCATGGCCAGAGGATGTTTTCCATCAATATACAGGTCTCTTATCTCAGCAACGTTGTGATCTCACAGTTTCTAAATTGGTCCTGGACTGAGTGTTGTCTCTTTGGTCCATCACCATTTGGAGAGATTTGGAGCAAGGGGGGGGAATTTTAATACGAGGCAAATGGCAAAAAAAATGCTGATGGTTAGATCTAGTGTATGTTGAAATAGCCTCTGTAGAAATGGGCTAGTAGGCTCTCCATGCTGGTGAGGAGGTCATGGTTTACGTGATCATAACAGTGAATCACATGAATATCACTAGCATGTGTGTGTACGTGTACACTATCTCCCAAGAAACCCAGGGTGTGAATGAGATTTGGCACCAGCCTGAATGGCTGGCTGAAGCTTTCAAACGAGCAGTTTAATGCATTGTCTCGCTCCACGGAGAGCATTGCCCCTCTACGTCGAAGCCTTTGAGGTATATTTTAGTCTTATTACTGGAAACCCACATAGGCAGGTGGCATCATAGCAGTTGGCTATTGCAGGAAGGTTGCATCTCAGCCAGAAGTGCTTGTCTTTTGTCCGTGAATGTGTGACCATCAGGATGAATTAGCATGTTCTCGAGTGAAAATGCAGAGGCTAAAAAATAAATAAATCCGTCCTTTTATAGCAAAGTTTTGCTGAGCAGCCTCAGTCACTACAAAGGCAACCATGAGGATCAGGCCCCTGCATTTAATTCAGTGGGGACTCCACAAGTGACCTGAACAGCGTGGATGATGGTAGCAACGTCCTACCATCGCACCTGGTTTCTGAAGATGGCGGAGCTACGAGCAGAGCGGGATTAGCGGGAGTGGGGCGCTGAAGGCCTGCTGTCTGCCAGGCACCAAGAAACTCCCCTCCCCGGGATCCCGGAACGCCCACGAATCTTATCACCTCGGTCAAAGTACAAAACTCACCTTCACTGTCCTGTAGTAGTAAAGAAAACCGAGCCGGTCTAACTGAATGGGAAGGGGAGAGCTGAGGGACCAACCTAAGAAACTAGCTTCAGACATTTTGAATTTATATAATTCTGCAAGACGCCCTTACCCTGGTAACGCGTCTAGGATACATGGATTTTTTTTTCCCTTGCCAAGCTGTTTAAAGCATTTGTTCTTAACAAGTTAGCTGGATCCTGTTATGAGGTTTTTTTTGCAGAAAGAATCTGCCACAATACACTGAGCTAATTCTCCAGGATTCAGTGATTTGAATGTTTCTGTATCATGAAACTCTAGTGTAAGAGCTGACAGCTGGTATAATTCTCACTTCCCTAACATCTTCATTAGAGAAGCAGAGAGGTCAGGGCTTTCTCAGTGGCAGAGAGATTGAAATGGCTTTTGATGGTGGTTTTGGCACTAGTATTTCACCAAGTTCGTGATGAACATGTAGGTGTAAGATTAAAAGGATGAATAAGGTAGTGCTGCTAAACAGAATTGCTTTTCAGAGCTCGAGTTCTGCCTCATTCTGACCTCCCGAGAAGGATACAATTGTCGAGCTGAGGCCCGTAGTGAAAAGGCCATTTCAATACATGCTTCCAGAATTAAATTGTCTTCTGAAAGCCATGTTACAATAAAGGCAGCATTGTTTAAGCAAAAAGCAGTCTGATTTTTTCGATACCTTTTTTATTAACTATGTTAACCTGATTGACATTAGCATTTAAATATTTACTGCTTTTTGGGGAAATAAGATGCTAGATTTCTACAAATATTGGAAAGAAAATATAGCTTGTTTTTATTAAGCTGTTGTTTTTCTGATGTCTATGAAACCTTGGCTTTATTTTTTTTTTCTGTTCCCTTCCCTTTCAGATTTTTATATCCATATTAATATCCATTGGGAATACACTATCACCTCAAAGGTTTAGAGAACTGACCACCATCCTCAGACAAATAAGTAGTTAATACAGCGATGATTCATCCTATTTTAGAGCAGTTGTCAAATGATTTTCTGTTTTTAACACGGCTGTTGCGGGCAAGCTGACCATGGGAGGTTTTTACATAATGTGGAATGATAAAGCAAAAATGTGTTTTGAGAGGCAGAGCTCTGTCTATAATTCACGGTGAGACAGATGTTAAAGGTGAGAGGCCTGGGAAACCAGGTGCGAGTGAAATGCTAGTCTGACCTAGAGCTGGTTAAAGAAGCAGAATGGTTCGGTTAAAGTATACTCTTGTACTCCTCACGTGCTCTGAAATGGTGACGTCCTTTCTGTGCAAAAAATACCGTTTAAAAAAAAAAAACACACACACACAGAAAAACCCTGCAAAACAATTATATAGTTCCCCGGGGTGTGTGTGTGTGTGTTTAAAGAGCATTTCAGATGACCTCCATGCAGGCTGGCCTCTTTCTCAGTGTGTGATGTAGGCTGTGCAAAAGATGGTAGCCAGATGGAAGGGGACAGGAGTCTCTTCATTTCCTATGGAGTGAATGTATAGTTTGTGGCACCGTAAACGCGTTAACTGCAGGAGTGCGAGATGGCTATTATGAAGGTCGGCCCTAGCAAATATCATTAAAGTCTACATGACAGTGCGTGCGTGCGTGCACTGAGATGCATTGCAGACGGTTTCACAAATATCATCTGCAACGTTTTACTTGGATTATCTGCTGTATCCTGCTTCTATTAAAGTCTGTCTGTCTTACTGTGAATCTGACTCATGGTTCAGGGTCCAAAGGGACAGAAACATTGAAATTTGATATTTGAAGACCAACAGTACTTTTTCTAGATGTAAAAATAAATAAACAAATAAATAAAAAATCTATTTTTACATGAATATGCCAAGATCTCCCAGAGTTGGAAGCGAGCCTCTTTCTCCTGTTAGGGATTAAAAGGAAGATTCCCAGCTTTCTGTTTAAAGCCCCTTTTTATAGGTTACGCATGTAGCTGCAGCTTGGGCACTTTCTGATTTAAGTGCTTAAAACTGGACTTCCATGCTTCCTTAACATTTTCATGAAAATTGTAAAGGTATTAAAAAAAGAAAAAAAAATGGAGCATAGCAACTGCTGCAGACCCTGCAGGGAGGAGAGCCCCTTGACCGCCTGGCCAAGACTTGAAGCAGGCAAGCGTCCAACCAGTTTGTTCAACTTCACTAAAACATTCACTACAAAGCTTCATCATCTTGCACGTTGGCCCAGCTCGGCCCTTCCTTCGCCGCAGAGTTGG